CATCAAGAATATTTTTCGCCCTGTCCCGAAGTCACACTTAGGCCAGCATTTCCATGAACAATTCAGCAGGGAATTGGTACTACTCAAATAATCCAATAGATTTCATGACACTGCTGGCCCATGTAGTTTGACACGTACAGATAATCTGCAATCTGCCATAGCACAGTCAGGTCATTGCTAAAGGCACTTAACTTGAAGTGGTTTTGTATAGTAATTGAGTCCTTAGCCCTCCAACTCGTGCCATAAAATTATAGCAAAAGTCTTCAAGTACATGGGGCAAAATGTTGACAATAAAAGCAGCCTACTGTTGAAAAGTAGTTGATAGAAAAAAAAATACAAATCCAACTAATATCATGGTATAAAGTCTGTCAAGGGAAGTGAAGTCTGGTTAACTTCCTTTGGCAACAGTATAAAATTTAATATGCACGACAATGCTGACGACAAGTACAGCTACAGCTATTATTGACCACTCCTGCCTTCACATTCATAGAATTATGGTAGTAAATATGTTAATGAAAAACAGCCCATCCTAGTAATGCTGTATTTTCACAAAGAAATTAATGTAAAAATCAATATTCAGGCCATAAGGTAAGGTACCAAGTGAGCAAATACAACAGAGCTAGGGCAATATTTTCCTGGATCTGACAAGTTTGCACTGGTAAAGAACCTACAGCATGCAATACTCACGTTATGATTCAACAAAGTGTGAAATTTTTTTCAAATTACAATTCTTCATTTATGTAATCCCAGCTACCATGACAGACATGGTAAATAAATCACATTAGACAGTAATATACGTGGCTGAGATGTGTGGCAGTGTTTTGCTTTTATTTCAGTGCTAGAACATCCAGGGAAAGGGCTCATACAAGAACAGTTCAGTGGTCAGGAGATACAGGAACTAACACATCACATTTAACACTCAGCTTCGCTATGCTCAGAAAGAATTCTGGTGTTTTTGGACATATGTGGACCAGGAGAAAAGTTACCTACATCTCATATGCAAATCTTAAATAACACCATAAGAACAATTATGAAATAAAAAGGAATTGTGCATTCAGAAGAGACATGATGATCACCAAAATGATCCAGGCAGGTAATTCATACCTAAGTAGAAACATAAATTTAGCTTAGAGATGCTTTCCATTATTTTAATTCAATTTTTGGAGTACTTCCTCAAGAGAAGTATTTTCTGAAAATCTATACTAAAGGTGATAATTCCAATGTTAAATTAGCATGATGATACTACATTGTGAGTCAAAGAAAAATAAGATTACTTCTGTTGACTTATTTTAGTAACTTGTAAACAAGTATTCTCCATTAGTACCAATGGCAATGAGAAGTTTCTTACCATCAGTATTGTTTGAAAAATAATTGAAGTGCATTCTAAAAATGGATTTTTAGTTGTTTTTAATTACTTCTATTACTGATTTCTCAATTTAGACACTTTTTTTTGAGATGGAGATAATTCTCTTTCATAATCAAAAACTGTCAGACCTATTGTTTTAAAAATTATTTGGAAAAAAAAAAGACATAAAACATCATCTATTAAAGGCCAAGCTTTGTCAATAGTGCTCTCTTTGTTATGGAAATACCACAGATTTTCTCCTATTTGTAACTACACAGTAAGTATTTTTAAATTCTCACTTTTTTCAGCCGAGACAGTTTTTTAATTGTTATTTTCCAGAAACATAATACTGTCTCTATTCTGAAGAGTACACCTCCGAGGGGGTGAGGGGGAGCTTACAGTTTTTCTTATAGAAAGAAAACAACCCTGAGCCGTGAAGATTCTATTCTGTTGGTCATGACATTCAAGAGCATTAAGTAAACCAGTAGGACAGCAGTACGTTGTTTCACAGTTTCTGAATTCTGAGCTAAATATACAGATTTATGAGGTATGCACAAGCAGACACTGAACTATGTACAGAAATGTTTGCAAACACAAGCCACGGAAAAGGGGGGCTGATCTCATGCAAGTAACTCCACAGAATTCCATAAATCTTTCCATATTGTGCAGCAGCACAACAAAGCAGTTGGGTCATTGGATTGTCTCACTGCTATTAAAGCCTTCTAACACAAGGTTCTAGAACCTGAATTCATGGAGGTATAATGAAGTCATACTGAATGACAATTTTTTAAATTATTTCTTTTTCTTTTAAACAGCTTTGTGGAAATAAAAGGCTACCTAGTCAGTAAACACAACCTGCTGCCTTCTCCCTTCTGTGTCGCAGTTGTTTCCAACAAGAATCAACAGCAAAGTTCATATTAAATTTATCACACTGTAATATTTTGCTTCCAGGTGTTCTCCCCTCTCCTTACTCTTCTCCTACTTTCAAAATGCATCTCCAGACTACTAATACTCCAGTAAAGGCATTTAACCAATGGCAGTCACCTTAGATTAACATCATCATGACATCTTCATCTCCGTGTACCGTGTAAGGACAGCTGTGGTGATCCTTCCAGTTTGTCTGTTCTAATTCATTAGGTAATATCCAGTCATCATTATGAAGTTATATTTCAAGCCCCAAAGGACAAATTTCTAGTAGAAAAATGCCATCTTGAGCCTACTGGGGAAACAAAACAACTCCTCCCAAAGTGTCAGAATTTAGGTTATAATCCTGCAGACATGTAGTTATGCAAAAAAAATTCACTAGTATTATTAAGAACATAGGAAAAAACTTGTGAAATCAAACTAAATAAAGTTTCATAGAAATGAACAAATTCTCCATTTTTTTGCATGGTGAGAGTGCCTTGGCCAAAGAAGCAGAATTATAAATAACCACTTCTTAGGAACAACTTCCCTTTTCTCTTCATCAGGCCTCTTTTCTTTACAGATCCCTGGAGAATAAAGTGTTAAGTCTCAACACTCCAAAACAGAGGAGCTGAATTTATCTATTAAGTTAAGAGCCATCCTCCTCCTATATGGAAAAAAAAATGAAATAGATGATAGGGGCTTTTTATTATTTGTTAAAGTCAATTCCTGTATTTTTTTTTTCATAAAAATTACTCAGCTTGTGTCCATTCCCAAATTTCAAGTTGCTCTAAGCAGGCATGAAATCCAGACCTTCACCGCATATGTTTAGTGTTAATTCAGTTACCTTTGCTTCGGAACAGCAAACCTAAGGTCTTAAAAAATTAAACCCCTTAATCAGAGAAACATGATGACTTCTCCAACCAAGTAAGTACTTATAAAACACTTTTGTTTCTTCCCTACTTCTCCATGCTCATCTTTTTAGAATCTTTCTATTACTGTGGTACATAATAAAGAGGGTCAGGTCAGACTATGCCAGCTCATTGTCTCACACATAATAGTTCCAGCCAACACCCTTACTTCAGATTTTTTCCTTTCTGTCAAGCCTCCCATCCCACCCCTTCACTACTGCATCAGACTGTCTTCCAGTAATTGATTCAAACTCTCCCTCTGCCAATTTCTCCCTTTGTACTTTCTACAGCAGTCATTTTGCTGTCCTCTGTGCTGTTTGAGCCATCAGGAAAAATGCACTGAAAACAAAGGAAAAGAGTCTCACTCCTTGTTTCCTTGGCAAAGTAGCCAAGAGGAACAATTTCAGTTAAGACACCAGCTCAGCGCCAGTAGGATTCTGTAACACACTAGTTTCCCAACCTTCTTCAAATTCTAACCCATTAAAACATTTGTCACTAGAGACAAAGTACTGTGAATTAAAACCTGACAATAGGCTTGGGTATCCAGTGTATGTTGTGAGTTTCTCAGACGCAGCTTAAGTTTCTTCCAGCAGGTGTGTGGATCCCAAGCAGAAGCCTATGTGAGGTAGAGAGGCTGTTCAGTTGCTCTGTGTGTATGATACAAGTGTTGGTGTGGTCAGCACCCTAGAAATCTAAGAATCTAAGGGGAGACCAATTTTCAGAATACAGAGCAAGATGCGTAACAAAAGTCACGTCTCCAAGAGCATTCCATTATATTTCAAAGCCCCAACTCAGATTTTGAAAACAAAAGAGGCCTCATGAAATCTGTTCCCTAAATGCGTTCTTGCGCACAGATAAAGAGTTTTACTGAAAACCTGACAAAATGAAAAGAAAGTCTGGCAGACCTGAGTCCGGAAGAATGGAAGTTTAACAAGCTTTCAAGAAGCTGGAAACAGTTTTACTAATGAACATCAAGCAATCATACCTAAAACTTGAATACCAGCTCCACATCTGTGTTAAGCAATCATTAAAGGCAAGTTTTAATGTGTTAAGTTTTTAAAGGTTAAAAGGAAAGATTATTTACATAATTAAATTTGATACTTAATACTAACTTTTCCTCAGTGACAGTGACTGCTGTCAACCCTACAACATTGCTTATTACAACACAGTAAGAAGAGTCCAGGCTTTGTTTTCTAACCCATTATAAAACTGTAACATTCTACATGGAGTTGTAAACAACTTCATTTACAGGAAAAAAAAAATAAAAAGGTGTCCCCACAGGTAAAAAGACATCCTCTTAGTAAAGGGTCAAGAGTTATAAAGGTTTGGCTAAGTCTACTTGTATGGTCCATGCCAAGAAACTGTATGGACGGATGCGTAAGATTGGTAGAAAAGAGAAGAATGGGGTAATACAGTTTGTTACAGGATTAAGCTAAGCTCAGAATTCTCTGTATACAGAAGTACATAAGGACATTCTACAGAGCCAGACGGTAAAGAGCAATTCATAATAGCTGGCCACAGTGCACTGAGTTTCTTTTTTCCCTTAGCAGTTGCTCGAGAGATACATTAGGGAATACCACTGCGATGCTGCCAGGAAACACCTGAATTATGAAATTCATCAGTACAGCAATTTTACTGTTAAGAAACCTGCTAATAAAGATTCTAATGAACACGAAGAGTTTTACCAGGAGCATACAAAGTCAAGTTACATTGATGTCATAGACACTATCTCTCCTGCTTTAAAATCCTCTTAGTATTTCTAGATTTATTTCGCTGGGGAAAAAAAATAAACCAAGATAAATGAAATACATACAGAAACAGACTCAAATGGCACTCATTCCTTTTTGTACAATTAAGCTTTAGTGAAAATATACAATCTTAAAACAAATGAAGTACAAATGTACAAAAATCCTTGAACTCAGATAAAAAATATATATAATACACTTTGCTACAGAGATATAAAACACTTAAAGTTTGCTCATCCTTTCTGATCAGAGTAAAATGATTTAAAGTCTGGAGGACTCTTGCTCATCATCACTGCAATCAGATTTAAAACAGACCTGCAACAGAAGACAAAAACAATTCAGCTGCGGATTGACACTGCTGCTGGTTTGTGTGTTTCATGGGGCACAGAAAGGCTGGGGTGGAAGGGGGGTGGGGGGTGCCTCTTTATCCATGGTAACTACATGCTTTGGGAATATCAAAGGGAACCACAACCCAACCTCAAATCTCAAGTCATTAAAGTTCTTTCTTTTAACTTCATGGGACAATTAATTGCAGTCATATTACTTCAAGATCAACTGAAGGCTCTCAAGCCATATGAAGTTTTTTAGGACTCTTTCTCAACACATAGAACCATATCCTGGGCCAGTGTGAACCCTGCTGATTCAGCTGGAGAAGACTACAGTAAGACACAAGCTTTAAGTTTAGCTAAGTGAAATGATTAGTACACTTAACCATTCCTTCTATTCCATTTCTGTGAGTGGGGGAAAAGTGAATTTGAAAAGGTGAACTAAAAATGACAATACTATTATAAATTCCATTAGCATTGTAACATTTGAGAGAGGTGAATTACCAGCTGAGGACAAAAAATACCACCATGCAATTTTAATACATGGACTTCTTGTGGCTACTTAGTGATATGCTCCCAGCAATTTTAAGATTCCATTTCTGCTTAAAAGCAAAAGTAATTTCTACAGAAGTGTGTGCTACTGGAATGTGCTCATGTTTCTCAAGATAATTCCACTCCAAGTGCAGGTAATACCAAGCAAACAAGACCGGGTACAACATCTTCAGCTGAAACCCTTTACAAATAGCCTATTTCCCACAACTTATAAACAAGCACAATAAGCCACGTGTCTTGTAGGTGGTAAATACTCGATTGTATAGTTCTAAATGTTTTCTAAAGAGTAGAAATTAAATGTGTAAGCTATGTAAACATATATTTTGTTGGTTTGGTAAAGGCATAAAAACTATGTGAAATATTTTAGTAATTTTTTTTTTGTCGCACTTCTTCACACTCACTCATTGTGAGTCCAGGTTTCTAAAAGAGTGAGTCCTAGGAGTTGCATTGCTCCAGCACACTCACTTCTGAGTTCATTAGTCAATTTTATTTACGTTTTCACACAGGGCTTCAATTATCTCTGAAGTTTTTACTTAAAAATGGCAAAATACGTAAGGAGTAAGATCTAAATTAAGATCTTTGGGGAAGAAAGATCTGTAGCACAGCAGTGAACAGCACACACTACATTTTCCCCAGGTACCAGCTAGCAGACACTACAGGAAGACAGAATGCTGAGAGAAGTTAAAACTCTTGGCGTTATAAGGATTGCCACAGTTTCAAATGCAGTGTAGGAGCAGAGACATAAGAAATCAGATTTCATTACTCTGTATTCAGCAAACAACTTGTTTTATCTTTGCATGTCTTACTGGCAATTTTCTTGTGAAAGAAAAGAAATACTCTTACCTCGCCACTAAAAAGTCTGTGAAAGAAGCCTCTCTTTGGTTTAGGAGACCTCTCTCTGTCTGGTGACACAGTACCATCAGTTTCATATGCATTGATATCTTCGAAGCATCCCGTTTCTATCATCTTTGAAACATATGAAATATAAGTGAAATATTCACACAAGCCTCTCAAACATGTTCCATGTATTATCTGTTTACTCTGGGTGTACTCCTAACAGCTTACAAATTCACCCGCCAAGCTACGCCAGCTGCAGAGCTCCAGGAAGGAAGGACAAGGTCGACATTAACTTTCCCTGTGCACCCAAGGAACGAAAGAATAGCAATGCGAGCCCTGTCATGCAGGCGAGTACTCAGATGCTCCCTTGCTTTGGTAAGGCCTTTCTCGATGCAATAAGCAGAAAGTGATTTTCCTTTCATCTCTCCTGCTCATTTCAGAGCAGTTGAGCCTAACAAATACAGTATCTCTATACCCTGAATTGAACTTAATTAATTAACAAAAATAAATAAACGTGACATTGAGTAGGAGAAATTACTATTCTATGCAGAATACAGTACCTGCATAGTACTGGGGAGATGTTTTTTACAAAGAGGATGAATTGCACTCTGGGGAAAAAAGCAGCTGATATCTGACCACAGGTAATTTAAACATCATTCCGGTGTTTTGGGCAACTGTCTATCAGAACACAACTAATATATATCATAATTAGAAATAAGGTAATGAGATAGAGAAGGTAATACTTCATTAAGGAAAAAAAAAAGAAAGACATAATGAAGACTGGTCTCTGGAGAGATGGAAGGGATTTTGAAATAATCTGTGTTTGTGTACACAGCAAATAAAATAATTAAACCCACAATTACTGGGTGCAAAGGACAGCATCGAGAGTAAATGCCAACATTTAACAGGCAGGCTTGGCCAGAAGGGGGAGAGTGGCTCATGCCCTCAGGCAGCTGGCATTTATCAGTGTGTGCCACTAATACGGACCTATCCTAAGGGGCGTGCAACCAAATGAGTACACCTTGTAGAGGAGAGAGGGCATAAAGCGGAATAAGAAGGAATGTGGTCTGCTTTTGTTGTAAACCACGACATTAGGTAAGTTATGGGAGAGGAAAAGCAAATCTTAAGAGACTGAGAGCAAACATTTGAGAGAAAGGTCAGTAACATGAATGAAAATTAAAAATAAGCACAAATGGAAAATGAAGTCTGCACAGCTATTCCTTGAAGAAAGCAATTACTGCCACCAGAATTCCACAACTGCTTTCAACTTTACCCCTCTACATGGGGTTAAGCTGCAGCGTGCATTTCTTAATGACTGGATCATATTCTCAAGTTCAGAATTACAACATGGCACAGGAAATATTTTTTTTTTCTCCAGCAGCCTCAGGTTCATTCCTTCTTATTGAAGACTTTCCATGTCAAATAACATCTCTCAAATATTCTTTTAAATGTAATGCAAAAACAAACAAAAGGGAAACAAAAGGGAATGTAATTTTTTTTCTGAGTTGTTCAGAAATTCCTCATCTTTTCAAGCTTTAAATAAAATGTTCAAACTTTAAATAAAATTTTAAAACAATTATATTGGGAAAGAAGCTACACTAGTAGAATTCAAGAGAATACTAATTTCAGGAAATTATGAACATCTTAGAATAGGGTGAGAGCATTCATAACAAGAATTACAATTTAAAATAATTGTTACCAAGTGCTCTTACTGAAATAATAAAGATTTTCATTTCCTAAATACAGGCTGAACTTCATAAAGAGGTAGCAGAATTCTAGTATTCTGTGTAGAATGCTAGAACATGCATTCACTAGGCAGATGAAAAAGCTTGAAGAGAAAGTCTGACTCAACTGATATGGAACTGTTTGCTTTGCAACCTTAGAAAAGGTGAATCTGCAGTTCTATATCACTTCATTGATACACAGGCATGGCTCGCAAACAGCTTGCACTGAGCCTCTTTGCTTTTGAACATAGTGAATAGCATCTCTCCCTCTCCTATGAATAATGTGATTGAAGAACAAGGGAAACGTGATCATACCGATGCTAAATACTGTTGTGTACGTCCTATTTAGGGTGGCAAGATGCCAGATTCTATTCAAGCAAATTTACCACAGATCTCAATTTTTAAGCAAGTCGTTTATGTTTTGGGAGGAACTTTATTCTGAAGTCTCTCAGAAAAGAAACATCTCTAAATCTCATGGAGAAAGCTAATACTATAATTATATCCCTTATTATTCAGCTGTGCTAAAGGGAATAATCTTTCATGAAATGAACAATACCTCATTTTGCCAAGGGATTGAGACACAACCCGTAACAAATTTGGAATAGAAGTCGTCATCTGTAGTATCCAGGTTCACTCCTTTTACTGTTGAGAACTGCTCTATGTCCAGGACATCTTTACAATATACGGCACGTGGCTGCAGTACAATACAAGATTATTTTATTAAGGTTTGGGGTTTTGGTTTGCGAGTGGGGGGATTGGGATTTTGTTATGGTTTTTTTCCTTTTCCTTCCTAGATGAGCAAAAGGGGAGCGAAATGCCTGCAATTTTGCATTTTGTATTGCTGATCACCAAATTACACTATACTACAAAAACGAAATGGAAAAACACAAAAGACTCTGTAAGGCACCTGAGCAATTCCATCCATCCTGCAAATAGCAGAAAGGACATACCAAAACCAGAAAGAGCATGCAACTTCTCTGGATTTCTTAATGGTTGTCATAACTCACTCGTCTTCTGTCAACCTTTCAACTCCAGAGTAATTTCTTCACAGCTAATCTTCATTTGTTCAGCATCTGAGCTAAGGAAGTATACTTTTAAGGGCTAAGCAATCAGCTACAAAGCTCCATAGAGCAATTCCACTATTGTTTTGTGATCTCAGACGAAATGCCACGAAACGAGTAGCCATCAATAGCATTCTCCTGCCAATTTAACTAACTTTAAGGGTTTCTCTGGCGTTGACATGATTGCTGACATCGAATTATGACAATTCTTGCCTTCGTAGATACTAATCAAATCTGTCTCACCTACTTACATCTGGCAAGAATGGAGGTTCTAACATGTTAGCTTCCAGCCTCTTGAAGTTAATATTCTTGAAAATAGGATGTTGCTTTACAATAGCAGCGCCATTTTCAGTGCAACCCAGTCGTTCCCCTGGATTTTTAGCCAGTAACTGCAAAGATATGGAAAAAATGGCTGATCCAGTGATATAATTCCACAAATGAAAAAACCCCACCACGATAAAAACAACCCCACATACACTGGCTTTCAGTAAGTTTATTTGGTTACTTGGCCTTTTATTAGATGAAATTTATCATGGTATCAAAATTAATTGGAAATAAAAACTGCAACATTCTGGAAGCAAAATATTTTCAATAGACAAAAGAATATCTGAAAGCAGACCATTTGAAGATTATACACAAAGTTATATGAAAATATTTTAATTGATTCCATGCTATAAAGATTTTCAGTATAGACTTTGCTGTAGACTTTACTTTCAGGAAATAAAGACTATTTTTTTTTCCAATGGGCTTAAGCAATACTTATATTTTGTGTAAACTAATAAAGGAAACTTTTGAAGCTTTCTCTACAGATATGCCTCATTAAATTTAAGAACATGCAAGACAAAAAAAAAAGCTGTTGACTCATGCAGTGTGTTTTAGGTATGAGAACTAGCATACCACTTTGCCATTTCTCCCCACGTAGTATCAAAGTTGAGCATGCTATTGTACTCCATTTGTAGCTACATGTGGTCCAAGGGGTACTGGACTCAAGTTATGGAAAATCAATTTATGCAGTCTTCTTCCACCTTGAAAAAAGTTCTGAATTCTCAAAGTCTGATAATTGAACAATTCATGGACAAACTTCCATATGAACCAAAGAAATATTTAAGAACTCCAGCTTTGAAAAATTTTGAATAGAAGACATTAAAATAAAGTAGTGCATTTCTTAAAAAGGATTAGAAATTTAATTTTCAAACCTCTACGTCTCTTCACCCACCATCCTGCAGATGGATTTTGCCTCCTCTGAGAACTTGTCTGAATAGGTTTCCTGGTCTTCCTTTACTCTCCGGTCGATCTCATCTCGTTTGACCCTTTCCTTATGCTTCCTGAACGGAGACTGTCCTTCAATCATTTCGTAAATCAAGCACCCCAGACCCCACCAATCCGGGCTGAATGTATACTTTTCGTTTTTGAGCACTTCTGGAGCTACAAAACAAAAACAAAGAAAGCCCATGACAATGCACTTTAAATTGACTGATTAAATATTAGGGGAAAACTCTCAGGCATTCTTTTGGCTCTGTGCAGAAATCTTTGCGTAACTGCTTCGTACTTAAAAGAAAGACTAAATTCTGCAGCACGAATCCTGTTTATATCCAAAAGAAGAACTCACATTCTTTAATACTTACGATCAGTTTTGCTAACAAACTGAGAATGAAACTTTTCCAAAGCATAGAAAGAAATGTGTTCTCTGCTTACCTGTGACCTAAATCTCTCTGAATCTCAGAAGAAAACTTAGGTGCTTTCTTAAAGTTCTACCCTAAAGCTAGAATTTCCAGAGATAATTTTCAAGTTTGTAAGTAGGCTTATAACTGACTACCAACACCTACCGTCACATACTGTAACCTCTCTTCCCATAAAATGCCTAGTAACTAGTCCATGCCCAGTACGTTCTTAAGACAAGTCATTCATGTATTTACAGAAGCAATTTTTCTGGTAAAACATAACTAGCAAAAGATACTTTACATACCCATGTAACCAACAGTTCCAACACGTCCTCGGACTGTTTCTCCTTCTGGAATCTGCACAGCTAATCCAAGATCTGAAATTCTGATATGTCCTATTTATGTTAAAACAGATTATATATAGTCAGCAAATAATAAAGTAACACCACTTTTGAAACAAAAAAATTTCTGCAACATACCTCATCAAAAAAAACCCTCCGAACATTCAAACAATGCTATGAGTATTAACGAGAAAGGAATGATTTATAATTATTCGACTCTCCCTAAATACTTAAAGGGAGAGGCACAGATCTAATTGGTTTCCTAAAGGCCATACAAAAAAAAGTGCTGTTAAGTACTCTAATTTCTAGCTTTGGCATCGGTTGCTACTCTAGGGCAAAGAGAAACCATTGCTTTCTCACTTCCTAACAAAACATCAGAATTTACTCCACTTATTCCAAATAAGAGAAAACTGTTGCCTGTACTGAGCCGCCAGGTTTTCCTCTAACAAAGTACCCTAGTAATGCTAAGCACAATTAATTGGAATTATTCTTACCACTCGTACCCCAAAAGAAAAGTAGCTTCACCATCACTTATTTAAAATTACTTATATTGTAACATGGCATTTCAGTATTAGGACTTCCCCTTCTCATGAATCAGTATCATGTAGATAACAGCTTCTAGTTCACTTTATTAGCCTGATTTCCTACGCTGACTACCTTTCTTGTTACGCACGGTATTTACACTAATACCTATACTGTAGAAGTAGTCTGGTGGAAGACTATGATTTGTCATGGACAACAGTGCTTGGATGGGGGAACACTCCAAGAAGGGCAATGGGAATAACTTCACCCCCACACACTCTTCCTTATATTCCCATGGACAGATACGGTTCTTTGCTGGACAGTCTCAACAGCAAAAGACTCAAGACAGTTCAAGGCAAGAACTGGATTGACATGACATAATGTACTTTCTTAACAAAAATATAAAAGATTCGCTAGAGATGATTGGCAATTTTCTGTTTTAAAATTAAATTCAAAATTACATTTTCATGTAATCTCTAGTAGAAGGATTCAAACCAAACCCCACATTTATTTCCAGTACTGGATATAAGGACAGAGACACTGTCTGTTACAGAAACATCAGATTCACAGAATAACTCAGGCTGGAAGGGACTTCAGAAGGTCTCTAGTATAAAATCCTGAGCAAGCAGTAAGCCTAAAATGTCCAAGTGTTTTTAATTCTTGTCTGGAAAGCCTCCAAGAGTAGACACTGTGCCTCCGCTCCGGGTAGCCCGTTCCAATACCCAAGTGTCCTTTATGCATACATTCCCTGTCGTTCAAAATGCTCTAGAGCATCAATGATAGTTAATACCATATTAATTTCTTATTTACACATGATAGATAACCAAGGGGTAGGGAGAGGAGAGTGAAGAAAGTCAAGTAACGCTCTATATACCGGCTGGTAATAATTAAATGCTCTTGAGCAACAAATGCTATTTTAAATACATTCAGATGCTCTTCTGTTGCCTGACATCTGATGAACCCCTTTTCAAGTGCAGGATCTGAGCTCCTGAAGCGATTTTCTAATTAGTCCCCTCTGCTCTCTGGAACAAGATCAGAATATCCCTGGCAGAGATAAAGCATTCCAATGCAGTCCTGAAAGGCTACATTTTTCCTCAGAGAAGCCTTCAGCTTTTGCAAGACATTGCTGGAGAGAAAAATTAGAGAATGCCTTTGATGTCCAGCAGAGCTTTAACTCTTGCAAAGAGACTTCTCCCAAGCATCATCTTTTCAGAAATGTATCAGTCACAACATGCTGGCTTTAAAAAAAAATACTGTGTCAATGACTTCAAAACCATTTTTTTCGCTAACTAAAATACTCAGCAATTACAAGAACAAGCTGCTAATATTCATCCACAGCTTAGAAGGCAATTGCTGCCCATGTTCTACAGTGAACTCAAAAGATTCTGATAAATTTCATACAAACTCAAAGAAAAAACTACAAACGTTTCTTCATATATTTTGTACTTCCTTGATTCCTTCCAGCCATATATGCATCAGTGACTATAAGACCTGGTTTAGCTGAAATGTTAAAACAAACAGAAGCTTCAGATTGCTTCTTTGTTGTATAAACATCATAGTTTACTAAGGAAAATTCTGGCCCCACATCTAGCAAATCTTTCCATAGTTGAAGAAAAGACAAACAGAGAATAAATTACTATAAGAGCTTCAGCCACCTTATATGAAGGAGAGGGGGGAGAACAAGGATCAAAAGGGGAAAAGTAGGCATTTTAAGGTGGGAAATTGACATTTCCAACATTGTCATCATTGTCTCCCAAAGACCCACTATTTCCCATACTCTCTAAAAAGCAAGAGCAGGATTTTTTCTCTAGTAATTAAAGTTAACATTTGCAGTCAGGTCCCTTTTATCATGAAGAAATCCCTTTGATTTCTGACATAGTATTAATTAAGAGTTGTAATTCTCGATTTCGAAATTCATTTTAAAGTTTTACTTACCACAGTCATCGAGGAGTATATTCTCAGGCTTCAAGTCTCTACAAACCAAACAGAATAGAAATATGAATTGTATCATGGCAATAAAAAACCCCTACCAGACTCAAGATCCTTTTTCTCCCCCCAACTCTTTAATCCATTTATATTAACAACAATAACTCATATCTCACAGAAGCAATTTTAGGAAGAAAGACTCCAGAATTCATGTTCAAAACAGAAGAGAAATATGCACACATTTGTGCACCAAGAAAACTATGCGCTTTTTTCCCCAAATATTGATAAATTGATGCTCTGAAATATGTGTATTCATGCTAAAGTTTCATTATTTAATGATACTGACTGTACAGAGAAGTCAGCAAGATGCTTTGCTTCTAATACTTTTCAGTCTAGACAGTCCCCATAATGTTAATCATTTGATGTTAGGTATGAAATTACAATACAGGAGAAATCAGGAGATAACAGAGCAAAAATCCCAAACTCTCACACCAAATATTAAAAAAGAAAATTCAGTTCAAACTTTATATATTATGCATTTGTCATAAACTGAGCACATCATACGTCCTCAGGTTAAGTCAAGTAAATGTGTTAAGAGAGTTCCATCTCCAGGAAGGCTGATTAAAGCCTAACCTAAAACCTACTACTTACTAGCAACATCTGCTGCTTAAAATAAGCTAATTCTGTTCTGACATGATTTTGGTCAGTCAACAGTCAACAGTAAAACTTGCTTCCAGCCAAAATTCCATCTCTTTAGTGCTATTACTTTCTAGGCCTTGCAGTTTGCAGCCTTCCTATAGAGACAATTTCTGCATAAAAATCCTTCAAAGGATTCACTTTAAAGATGTTTACTCTGAGAACAGGCAAGAGGCAGGCAAAGAGCTACATGTGTTCATTCACTGCAGCTTCGGCAGGTCTCTGAGCCTGATCTTTGACTGTCCGGGCACATTCAGTGGTGCTATAGGCACCTACTGAGTTTGTGAGGAAAATCTAGTTATTCAAGCAGCTTATCTGATAAAAACCACTACCATCCTTCAGGAGTCGGGTAACTCCTGCAAGAAAACTCCAGCAATTGAGTCTCTTTTGGAAAGCAGGCACTTGTTCCCCAGTCTGTCTTATGCAAATCCTGACTTTGCTCTGTTCCTCAACTTTTTCTGTAGCAGATGGGTGAACAGCTCCACCTCTGCCTGTTTACTGATTTGTCTAATGTCAGCAACATATGGCAGGTTACAGATAGCTGCCCAAGCTCCCACTGAACATGCAAACTGGCTCAATCCCTACGGCAGGGCAGTGCGGGGCCCCTCCTTCCAGCTCTGCACCTGTTCCTTTCACCCAGCGGGAGCCCCACCAACAGCACGCTCCCACCAACAGCACGGCACAACTGACCCCAGGGCCCTACAGGCAGCACCAACACCACTGCTTGAAATTCAGCAATAACTGGTACAAAGGCACATGAAAGACACAATAAAAATTGCTGTTAACAGAAAGGAAAGTTAAGCCTAGTATTCTCACTTCAAGAGGCATTTTGCTACTGATGGCAACATGCCCCAAATATGACTGACTGACGTTAAAACTGCCACTCTGGAAAGGAACAAACTGACAAGATGAACTGATTTTACTGCTATCTGCTGACACCTGTCTGCACCAAGGACTTCTACTTTCAGAAGTTTGGAATTTCCCTTCTTCCACTGCCTCTCCAGTACATTTTACTGTGAATATACAGACGGATAGCCACAAAAAGTCTCAAGAAAATATTTTGTAACAGTATGTTACTGAATTAAAGTCTGCTTTAACAGTTGAAACTATTTATCTAAAAAGAGGGTTTAAAGCTCCTCCTTCAAAGTTGAAAAACAAATGCTGTAACAGATCTTAAGGTATGGCAAGAAGAAAGAAAACTAGCTTCGGTTCAGAAATTCAGTGGCCCTACCAGTATTAAATGCTTTCAAAATGGCAATAAAAACAAGAAAAACATTCCTTCTGTATTTTCTTGCCCTGGAGAGTGTGAACATACTAGTTATCATAATTTGCAAAAATAAATCACTGAATTAAGGAAAACATGCTTCATTACGTTCTCCCCCTCCAGCAATAAAACTGGAGGTCTTAACTTTATAATTTTTTTTAGAATATAGCAAGTATCTAGACCTTCTGAAGGGCGTCATGAAAAGGACATTTAAACAATTTTTTTTTGCTTCTTTTACTATGGAGTTGAAGTATAAACTTGTTTTAGTAGAAAACAGTTAATACATTCAATCATGAACAGACATGGAAAATTTCAAGGCATGAAAGACTGCAGATGACACTCACCTGTAAACAATTCTCTCCTTCTGCAAATCCTCTAGACCACAGCACAGCTCTGCAGCATAGAAAATAGCCCTTTCTTCATCAAAGCCAGGATTTCCCATGTTATAGATGTGAAACTTCAAATCCCCTCCATTCATTATGGTTAGTACTAAACACAGGGCATCTTTCGTCTCATACGTATAGGATAAACTGACCTAAAAATTGTGCAAGGGAAGAAGACAACCATTACTCATTCACATACGCCAATACAATTCACAGCTCTTTTTTCCAATACAAGCAACATATAAAGCATTTTTTAAAACAACAAGGAACAAACCAGATAAGCAGAGAACTGCTGCTGTCAAGTACTTGGAAGACACAAAGGAATTCAAACTAATTTACACGTATACACAAACCCTACATCACCATACAGATGTTTAGTGCCACATCTGGGTAGATATCCTAAAGCTCCATCCAGACAATACATTTACTGATGATACACCTCATCTGCACAGTACCCATACTACTTTTTGTAAAGGCAACGTAAGCATATACCTTATCTTACTAATACCTCAGCAATTGTGTATTGTCAAATGATCTTTCCTGAACTTCTACAAGACTGAAAGTTGCCTTACCTTAAATAAACTAAAAAAGTTATTTAAGAACAAATGTGTAGTTTCCATTCCTCCCTCTGCCCCCCTAAATAACTGCATACTTCCCTGGCTTAGAACAGTAAAGACTTGGTACAGCTCTTTATAGGCTTTCTTCTCACTGTATTTGCCATGTAATGCTGATGGCGGAGGAAGAACATCATTATTTTTTTTTTCAGTTTTAAAGTACACTTGCAAATTCAAAAAACCACAATTTTACAACAATGTAACATATTGCAAAATTTAACGTTATGTTGTTTAAGTTACGAGATCAGTTTCAATAGAAAAGGCTATGCTATACTGATAAACATCTGCTAGAATCTTCAAAATTACCTACACAGACTAACTAACTTGTAGCAAAAGCAATGAGATTTAAACATACACTTAACTTGCATAAGGTAAGTAAGCTAGATAAAAACCAGTAGGATTTTTTTGGCTCAGTAACTCTATTTTTAAATGCAGTACAAGTACATAAAGGCCATAATTCACTAATAAGCCCAAACTCTTCCTTCAGAAACATAAATCCAATGCTAAATAATCAAATTAAATAACTATACAAATCAGTTACTCAGGGCAAGTGTTCCTATTTGGTGTTTTTAAACTGAAATGTCCAGCTACTACAGATTTCCAACACATTATTACTGCAGGTCCTAGATCTAGATGTTCTCTGTTGCATTGACAAAGCAAGGCATGGCAAAAGGAAAAAAATCTATTCTCTAAAGTGATTTCAAATTCAACACTAATCAATTACTGATTTATAGTATTTCCACATGTTGAAAAAAATATTACTCAAAAAATAGAAGGTTCACTCCTATCTCAGGTGTCTCTACAACTAGTAATTTCTGGATCAATTCAGGCAATTTCTGGATTCAGTGTCAGCCACTTCAAGCCCATGAGCCTTGTGAGAAAACATTACGATATTTATACAAAAAAATCATTTAAAATACAATGAAGTATCTGGCCAGCAGGTTCTTAATTTTTCTTTTACCTGGCAGTATTCTACAGGAGCTTTTTTAATACATAAAGCTTATCAGAAAATACACATGTACATATTTTATATATATTTATAAATCATAGAATCATAGACTTGTCAGGGTTGG